CATGTTTGATCCTCGAGTTTGATCTCCTTTTTACTCTGTGTATATAATGTTTACAATGTTGAGAGAAACCTTTTTGGTATTTGTAACTATAATTATATATTATTATAATTATGATTGTCTACTATAGTTTATAGTATTAGCAATAATAATTATATATATAATTCTATCTACCTTGTTGATATAATGATGTTGATAATCCGAGTCAATTGTTATATATCTAGGAATCGTTATATATCTAGGGATATTGAATCGATGTATTGAAGTTTTGCCATAACGTTTTTCTTTGATTCGTATGCTCATCGAGATTCTTTTTCTTTACTTTAAGTTCTTCTTAAGCTTGTTCGCATCGCATGCTCTAATGTTCCAACATGCTTTAATATGCTCTTGTTATAGCTACTCAATTTAATGAGCGCGTTAGTAAATGCTATAGTAGGAGCATTTTAAAACATGTCAGAGCAAGCGACGCGAACAAACCTCTTGTATTCTTTCTATTCTGGTATCATAGTTGAATTAGAAGTTAGGGCCCCGCACAAATATTGTCACACGCCTTATGTTATCTTATGTCATCCGTAATGCAGAGAGTACAGACTCTTGCATTACTTATAACATAAGATATAAGAAATTCAACCAATTAGAGTTCTTTATTTCATAGAAAAGAAGAAAACGAAGGATTTTAGTACATTTTCATATGCATTTCGCGTTATGCAAGAATCTGTGCTCCTTTTTTAAGACATAACGTAAGTAACGCACAGAAAAGAATAGCAGGAATGATAAGGACTGCCGTACACAAAATTTCTGTAACATTAACTTTAAAAATGTGAACTTAAGCTGATGAGCCAATCAGAATATTGCTTTAGATCTACCCCGTTAAAAAATTTTGTATGCATAAACACGTATAATTATGTATAAACATACATAAACATATATAAATATTTATAAACATATATATTAGGTGTACAACTTTGCTTCCGCCGTTTTCCTATAGATGGCTTTAGCGATAAGTGGTAGTCGAAATAAATAGATCATAGACGTCGTACAATAAACTTGGGCATCTGTCAACATAACCCCATAGAAACATTAGTCGATTTGTCTGTATCATAAAGTTATTCTCGATTGAAAATGTCAGTTTACGAGCCAAATTCTCATCATTTGCGGGAGGTTTTAATTTTTTGCTTCAATATGAAATATGCGGAAGAAATCTGCGGCTAAGGCTCATCGAATGCTCTCAAATACTTATGGTGAGGCCGCTATTAGTGAAAGAACGTGTCGTGAGTGATTTCAACGCTTCAAGAACAGTGATTTTGACGTCCAAGGTCATGCTCTGTATTTGATGGGATCAGCTCGGCGTAGTGTATTATGAACTGTTAAAACCGATTGAAACAATCACAGGCGATCGGTATCGAACGCAATTGATGCGTTTGAGCCGAGCATTGAAAGACAAATGGCCGCAATACAACGAGAGACACGATAAAGTGATTTTGCAGCATGACAATGCTCGACCCCATGCGAAAGTGGTCAAGACATACTTGGAAACGTTGAAATGGGAAGTCCTACCCCACCCGCCGTATTCTCCAGACGTTGCTCCCTCTGACTATCACTTGTTTCGATCAATGGCACACGGCCTTGCTGACCAGCACTTCCGGTTTTATGAAGAAGTAAAAAATTGGATCGATTCGTGGATAGCCTTAAAAGATGACCAGTTTTTTCGACGCGGGATTCGCTACCCGAAAGATGGGAGAAAGTAGTGGCCAGCGATGGACAATACTTTGAATCATAAATGTATAACCAGTTTTTTACAATAAAGCCTCGAATTTCGGAAAAAAAACGGCGAAAGTAAAGTTGTACACCTAATAATTTTACATGAAATACTATTTTGCGTTACGAACGAAATTTTGAAATGTTTCAAAAAGCTTATGGCTATGATTGTAATATTTTGAATGCATTTTTGAACGAAATTTTATTCGTAACGCAATATTTCAAACAAATTCTTTGCTCGATAAAAATTGTCGCGCACAAGAATCTTCACTGACATAAACAACTATCATTCTCAAACGGCTTGAAGGAACACTATGAGTTTTTGACTCCATGATGAACCAAATGAAGGATATGTGGACTAACTTAACAAAACAAACGGATTTGATTTACAGTTTTCCCACAATTTAAAAAAAATAAAGTTTGGATACTTTTTGATTATGATAATGGCCATACATGTTCATACATTTTTTTTTCTTTTTGTAAATTACTTTTTAGTGTAATTGAAATAATAGTAATGTAAAAACATTAAAAATAATTAGAAAGATAATTTTTGCTATTTGTTTTAGAAAAAAATCAATTTAAAGAAATGTAAAAAAATTTACTTATGTATAATTATATTTAAAATTATAATTGTGTATGAGCAATTTTTTTACATTTTTTCAAACTTGTTTTTTTCTAAAACAATGCGAAAATTATTCCTTTAATTATTTTTTATGTTTTCACGTTACTGTTATTTCTATTACACTAAAAAGTAATTTTACAAAAGAAAAAAGGACATATATAAACATGAACATATTTCATATATAATTATAATTTGTACATATTCATGTAAGAAAAATTTTTTACCGGGACGTATTTTAACAGAAATAGAAATAGCAGTTATTATGTAGATTTAAAGCAGTATTCTGATTGGCTCATCGGCTTAAGTTTAAATTGTATAGTGTTACGGAATTTTGTCTGCGGCAACCTTAAAGAACTATATTTTTCTTTGTGCGTTACTTACGTTTTATCTTAGAGATGGTTATATGTGAAGTAACGCAGAGCTCTGACATAAAATGGCATAAAGCGTTACCACTATGGTAAAATGTTCATACTATGAACCTTACTCATTTCCACGGATGCGCAGTAATTTGAAAGTAGTGGGGGGATTTGTCAGCCAATCAAATTTTGAGCTCATTTGCAGAAATTTACATGACTCGTTCACGCTGCAATGAGTTTAATTTCTGATTGGTTGAGATCTTAGATCATGTGACGGATCTATCGTCATTATGCGCAATGGATAACTTTTCTAATTTAATCATGTTCTAGTATTATAGTTGCGCATGATTGTTGCGTGAAATATAAATTACTTTAAGTAAATTTGTTTTGGTATTTATTATTGCAATCTCCCATAACTGCGCATTAAAGATAAAAAACCTATATAACTATATAACTTTATTACAGCCATAAGAATGGTTAAAATTACCATAAAAAATTATTTAAATAACTGTATTAATTTTAACAATTTTTATGGTAATAACTATAATTACAGTCATTTTCGATTGCCAACTATATATAGTTGAGAATTACACATATAATTATTATTACTAATATTGTGATATTATTGTAGTACTGTAGTTGTAATCATAATTATAATAATATGTAATTATAGTTACAAATATCAAAAAGTTTTTTCTCTTTTGTTCCTTTTAGCAAAATGAGCAGCTTATAAAGGAATCTGTGAAGTTAGTACGATATTCTATTAATATAAAAAAATAATTACGGTTCCAGCAGCACCTTTCATAATTCTATAGTTTCTAAAATAAAAAAAGTTCCGCAATTTTTTATACTAAAAAACCAAATGTTAAAATATGCTTCTAAAGTATAAGAAAACGATAAATATTACCATTTTTGACAATAGTTCCCATTAGTTCTACTAGAAATCCATTAATATATGAGGCATTCCACGTCAAATTGGACACTTTCGAAACATCGTTATTAAAATTTTTTTTTTAATTTTCTGACATTTCTAAAAAAATATGTTTCGCGAAATTGAGATTTTTTTTGATGAAATCAATCACGCTTGTAAGTTGTAGAAATTTATAAAAAAACGTTGCTCATACGAACATTGAAATTATTATATCGAAACCATTAGTCGTACAAAAAAATGCGAGAGACCAATTTTAAAGATCTTAAATTATTCTATAGATTATTTTTAATTTATTATTTTCATATAAATAAATAATTTTCCATTTGTTTACAATTTTTATTAACATTTTTTATCATCAACTCAGTAATCGAAAAATTTTATAAAATACTATGATATTCCCACTATGATATTCAATTATGAAGGAACCCTAAAAATTACATAATGCAACTTGAATTTTTTTGTCGAATGCAAATTTTAAAATATAATAGTAATATATTTATATCGACACGATACTTGGAGAAAATATATCGTGCTGAATTCAAATATTAAAAATTGTTTAAAAATTTGCATTTGACGGAATTCTTTTTAAAATGATTGTATAGTTTAGAATTTTGCTGGAAGTAGATAGTGAGGGCTGTCGCCAGAACTATAATAAGTAATCAAAACGACAGTTTTTCTCCAAGTATCGTGCTGGATTCGTAGATTAAAAAATTAATTTAAAATATATAGCGGTCCGAACAACACTATTTAAAGATGATTGTAGGACATAGAATTCTGTTAGAGCTAATGAATACTGTTGCTAAAATTGCTATAAACAATCAGCACATTTTCTACACATGTCATACTATCTTCATTTTAAATATATAAAAATTATGGGAATTTTATAGATAATTTTTTAAATCTCTATTAGAACTAATGCCAAAAATGAAACTATTATATTGCCAAAAGTAATAATATTTATTGTTTCCTTGTACTTCAGAGTAAAAAGTATCGTCTAGATTCGCGAAGTTAGCATGTCATATTTTCATATTTGGTTTTTTAATAGAAATGGGAAATTTTTTTTATTTTTTTATACATAGAACTATAAAAAAGTGCTTCTGAAACTATCTGAAACTATCTGAAATTATATGAAAATTATTTTTTTTTATATTAATAGAATGTCGTTCTACTTACGCAGATCCACTTATAAGTACTTAGTGACTCAATTCTTTAGTTCCTAGTTGAATTTAAAAATATATAAATTAAATACAAATAATTAAATAATTATTGAACATTTACATACGAAGTTACTTTTTCTGCTGAACGCAACCAATGACAATATATAATTTATTGACAGATTGTTCCCTCAATGTACATCGACAATGTGTTCGTGTAGTAGAAGAAAATTGTCCTGGTCCTTTAATGCGAAAAGAAAGAGCCAATGATAGGATCAGTAAACTTATGGAACGTATTCGACCGGAAAGGAAACTTCCATCATCCCATCATCATTCTCAAAACTATGTATCTCATCGTAAGTCTATTTTTTGATATTTCATGCAAATTTATATTGTTTCTTTATTAAACTAATTAGAAGATAAAAAATTT